GCTGTCCAAATCAGAGTCATCAACCATATGCGACTATAATCAGCTGTTTTAAACTTCCTCATTGGAAGTCACGTAAAAAGCGGCTCTGAAGAAGGCGATACTGCCGAAACGTCAGCTAGCGTTGTATTGTATTGTGTTTCTCTATGGAAGTAAATGTATGCTGTCTAAAAACTTCGCGATTACTGAACAAGAAAACGACACATTCAAATTCCAATGCCGAGGTTAATAGAAAGTCGATCCTGGAAACATTTTATTATTTTTTTATTTGAAATGAAGAGCAAGATGAGCGGGACCTCACCACCACTAGAGTTATGGTTTGTGGGCCTAGGTTCTCTTCTACACCTCTCCCGGTGAGCTACACCTCTCCCGGTGAGTAGTAGAAATGGCTTCGCTTCGTCAATTTTCAGGACTCCTCTCTCTGCTTTCTTCCCGTGCACACGTTGATTGCTGTTCGAAACATGTTTCTTACAAGCGCTCTTTTGTGTGTGAGGGTTGAAAGGAGAGGTGATGAACCAGTATGCTTTTACCACTTAGCTTTTGGTGCCATTTTCCAATGCAGCCGTTTTCGAATAGGTTAATTTGAACGTTCAGAAATGGAAGCCAATTTGGCTTTTATTTGGTAACTGTATCTATATTATCTGTATCTGTATTTTATTTGTATCTATTTGTTTATTTGTGCTTAATGCACTCCTTATTCAATAACTCAAAAAATTTGTCCATTTCCTGTTTTGTTGAGCAAGTAACGAAGCAATTACCTATATATATATCTGCAGCGGAGTAATGAGAACTAAAGTAATGAAAATGTAATGAGGAGATCGGTAACTGTTGCTATCGCTTTAGACATAAATGCAATATCAAGGCTTGGTGCCGGTCGCTTTCCCATTGCCAACCCTCTCTCTTGTGCCTGATATTTTCCGGTCCACCTGAAAATTGAGCATTTCAGGCAAAATCTTTAGGAGAGCTATGAGCCGCTGAATCAAGAACGCATACATGTTTATTGCTTCTTCGTGTTCCATAAGGAGATCGAGAATTTCTTACATAGTGGGGTCATTCGACCAGTTTGTATAAAGGGAAGCGACGTCGAAGGACTCCGTCACATAAGCGCAGTTAGGGCGCGCGTTACATAGACGATCCAGAAACATCTGGGTGTTCGCAACATGGACTAAAATGTTTTCCAACAACTGGGTAAGTGTCAAGGTTAAAACCACGTTATTCTGTCCATTGGCCCGTCTACGGAGCTAATGATGGTTCTAGCCTTGACGATCTCAACGATCGTGGAACTTCTTCAACAGGCTACTATGCTGAATCATTCAAGAATTTCTCACCGTTATTCTTACCGAAAGTAGATGGTGTGATATTTGGATGGAAATTCCATCAGTAGAAGAACTTTGCTACGTATATGAAAAGGGAAGTATAGTTAGTATTTGAATTGATTGGCACGACAAGGATCGAAAAACAATCTTCAGTTTTGTAATAGTATCCAGGATCGACTTTCTATTAAATTCGGCATTGGATTATGAATTCGTCGTTTTCTCTCTCAACAATCGCGAGGTTGTTAAACAGCATACGTTTACTTTCATACAATAACATGCACATAACACAACCTATACGACCGCCTATGTGAAACACAGAATTGCGTAATCTGCCCTTATGGCAGGCAGAATCGCCATCTTCAGAGCCTGGAAGGGTATACTAATACGCAACTTACTAGGTAAAACGCTTCAACAGCACAAACCTGGTTCATTCCCTTTCTTACCATTCTTCACACACAAAGAGGGCGCTTGTGAGAAACATGCTTCAAACAACCACCTCTGTGTGCACAAGTAGGGAACTAAAGGAAGAATCGCGCGTCCATTGTGGCGCGGCAAATAGCCATCTCCAATGGCTACGAAATTGTAACCTTACGAGATAAGTTTTGAGGGACAGAAACACTCCAAAACGAACGGTTTGGACGAAACAAAGTCTCGTTTATCTTGCCCCTCATTAGCGATGAAATAAGTGTAGCGATGAAACGATGCTTAAGAAAGGTAGATCTAGAGGAATCGGTAGCGATAATTGAAATACCACCGAACACTCTTCGTCGTTAGTTAGTTCTTAACAGCCTATACGACCGCCTATGTGAAACACAGAATTGCGTAATCTGCCCTTATGGCAGGGACGGTGACTGCATGAGTTCAGGTACGATATACCTGATCTCTAATGGTACTTGCGGAGGCGAATATATTGGCGAAACAGGCAGACCTTCATGTATCCGCATAAAAGAACAACTAGATGGCAAATGAAAAGCAAAACAAGGCACGCCACTAGGGACGCATAGGATACAAAACCACAGCGGAGACGATTTTGTTGTAAAAGTCGCTATCCTCGCACGGGATCCTGAAACACCAACGCGCATACTCCTCGAGGCTTTTTGGATAAATGCCAAAAATCCTACAATGAATAGCAGGGAGGAACGCACCGAGATCACGCGTGATCTCGTCCCTTCGTATTGATCGTTGATGTGGGGAGGTGCGGTCGTCAACCATATGCGACTCTGAACGACTGTTGTTCCTCGGTGGAAGACAGGTGAAAAAAGCGGTGGGTTCTTTGAGAAGCCATAGATCTCGTAATTATCGTGGAGATTTTCATCTTTCTGTTTGTGGTATTGAAGCGTTTGACCTAGTAAGTTGCGCCTTAGTGTACCCTTCCAGACTCTGAAGAAGACGATTCTGCCGAAACGTCAGCTACGGTTGTGTTGTATGTTTGTTATCGTATAGATGTAAACGTATGCTGTTTGACAACCTCGCCATTGCTGAGAAAGAAAACGACGAATTCATAATATTCTATTTATTCACTACTCGAAAAGCAATCAGGAACCTTAACTCTTTTATTTACTGCCTGTTTCTTCTTAATGGCAGTAAATAAAAGAGTTAAGATTGTGATTATAACTAAGCCTCAGCTTAATTGGGTTCAATGCCGATATTGGCTCATCTTTGGATCAATCCCGTTGACGGGTGTTTGCTGATGGCAAAAAGATCGAGAGAACTAGTTGAGAGACATGCAAAGCGAAGGACCCGAATGGTGTAGTGGTGAAGTGCGCTGCTCCCGGTAAGGACAACAGTTCGTGTTCGTTCCCCACTGCATACATCTGCGGTCCGCAGTTTTGCAAATATCTCAGCATTTCATCCGAGCAATCAGGAATTCCTTAACACGGACTTGCACTTGATTAATGGTATACGCTATATAATACGCACATTATATTCCAGGGTTCGATCTGGCCAGTGACAATCAAGCATCCCATTCTTGGGATTTTTCGAATTCGTACTGCAGTTCCATGGGAGGAGTTGCTTCCAGTCCATAAAGGGGCAAAGAGTGCCTTCATTAAAGGCGTGAGAGTTCCGAGAGTTAGCATACCCATCCCGGGACTCCACTGAGAAGCCACTCGACCAGCACACATAAAGGAGACAAATTCTCCATACAGAACCGAACTCACGCATCAATCCGAAGACTTTCGTGGATAATGGATGGGAGTAAATAAACTGCATATAAAAAGTGGTGGAATCTGCACTACATCTGATGACGTGCCATGTAAATAAGGAAACAAGATAAATATTTATTTAGCCTAGCTATTTGCACCAGTGATATACCTCCATAATTCAACCAAAGATGAATAATAAAACCACTGTCGTAAATAAATTTATTACACATCATTTATAGAAATGCAAGTAATCGGGAAACCAAACATTCTCCAGTATGGAAAGATATGTCTGTACGAATAGGTGAAAAAGAGAAAAGGAAAGGAAAAGTTAAGAAACACACGAGATATATTGAATAGAACCGGAAACGTGCTAAACATAAGACTGCAGTTGTCATCTCAATGATGCTGAGATGTTTGCAAAACTCCGGACCGCAGGTGTCTGCGGTGGGGAACGAACGCGCTATTGTCCTTTCCGGGGAGTAACGCGCTCATCACCACACCATGCTGGTCCTTCGTTTCGCAAAGATCGATAGAACTAGCCTGAGAGACAGGCGAAACGAAGGACTCGCATGGTTGTGATGGTGGACGCGTTACTCCACGGAAAGGACAATAGCGCGTTCGTTCCCCACCGGAGACACCTGCGGTCCGGGGTTTTGCAATTATCTCAGCATCATTGAAGTTATATTTCGTGACATACCCTGCCATTAAAAAGAATAGGCAGTAAATAAAAGGTTAAGGTTGTCATCTTATTTCAAACAATTCTCGAGCACAAGGAAGCGGTACAAACATTGATACGCAAATACTTACAAACACCCTCTACAATATCCATTAATGAATCCGTCTAACTTAAGGCAGAATTGTGCACTAAATGACCAGCAAATGATGAAGAGGGCAGGTGGGAAACGATAATGGATGATCAATTTGCACTAGAAGGACAAACAGAGGACCAAGAATATGGTAAGGACGAGAAAAACACAAAGAAAAGACAAAAAACTAACTGAAAGAGGAAAGTTGTATTATGGCATCGCCCATATCAGAGCATATATAAGCCAGCTAGTACAAATACACTTCGTAATGGCGAGGTTACTAGTGATTTATTAAAGTGAAATCTACCTAGTAAGGCTTTGAGCTATGGCGAGAATGCTGATCAAGACGAAGTGGCAAATGAAATCGTATAGCGGACAATCTCAGGAATTCAGTACCAGTGAGAGCGTCAAGATCAACAACAGGAACAAATTCTCAAAGGCATTTACATGAACCGAAGCATAGCTGACCTAGGACAATAGCGGATGGTATACATACAAGGACATTGATGATGACGAAACACTGCCAGACAGTTCTCAATAAATTTCAACGCAGTGGATTGAACGAGATAAATCCCATGTTAGAGAAGCTCTTCTTTAATTATCAATCGATCTAGTGAAACATAATCCGCGAATACACTAGACATTGTGAATTTGAACTGATAGCACAGAACTACCATGAGGTACGGGATTAGTTGAGACCACTGAAATGCTTCTTAATTCCGAGCCCTTCGAGTTTCTTAGTTTTCCACCTCGACGTCTTCGGTTTGCCTAAGACGCAACGACATAAGAAATGAGCATAATTTCTGCAAATAGAGTTCTGGACGAAAATCGGATTCGGTACGCGGTAGCGCCTCTCCCATATATGCCAGCATCAACAGCACTTGATCCTGAAACAGAGGAGCGATGAAGCTTGATATTGTTCCAGATTTTACATATATTACTTGAAATTATAGAATACATGGGTTATGTAGCCCAGTTGTTAACGGTGCCAAATATGCCTTCAAAAACCTTTACTATACCACGACCGGAGTCCAGTTCATCAGCACCTCGAAGGAAGTGATGAACGTCGAATTCTTTACCCCTTATCTTTTAATCACTACTTAAAAAACGGTCGGAAGAACCAACCTTAACTAGAAGTAGACCTATGCTGTGGTTGAGCATGATCTACTCATGGCCAGCTTTACGCCAAGAAGAGTATCATTCGAGCAAGTAAGGCGTACTAAACAACTCTGGAGCACGACAAGGGTGAACAAAGATTTCATTGATGCTCTCTAGAATCTCTACAGAATAAAAAGGATAGAAGGATAAAGCTCTCAGCGTTGATCAATCCCTGAGGGATGCGCCATTGCATTCGACTTCATTAAGCAACGTTTGAGGGTGATTGAATGCATATCTGGCCTTTACAATGACTCGCGGTGGCCTGCCGATGTATCGAGCCAGTGCTGCTATCTTCCCGTACAAGTCTGGTACCAATTTGCCGACCCCAGAGGGATGGAAGGCTAAGTGGACCATGGGAGCGGGGCTCGATTCCACGTGTGTGTTGCAGAGCCCCTCCGACTACTGCACCACACGTGCCGTACTACAGAATTAAGAAAACTAAAGGCGTTGTATATGAGGATGATGTGCGACTATGAAGGTGATGGACATACGAACAACGCAAAGCTAGTAGCGACTAATCGCGTCGCGAATTAATAAATACACGTGAAAATTCTTCAAAGTGAAAAATTCCAGTGATCATTTTACCCTCACGACCAATAGCGACTTTTGGAGAAAATAAATTACATTGAGTCAAGAAGCTAAACATGCAACAGAAACAGAATCGTTAGTAGATCGATGAAATTCCTAGAGGAAAACAATCTGATGATTGAAGCTGAACAAACCAAACACTTCTTCCTTCTATTTTTCTTTATGCTCCTTTCCTCTTTTCTTCCTTCCCTATTTCCTGCGTCATCTTTAGTCGGGCATTACTATAAAATCTTGTTCACATAAATCAAACCTATACCACAGGAGCCAGCAGTCGATAGCAAGCTCTCGAACAAGTACGATCGCTGACATCGGTTCTTTTCACATCATTGCCAACAGAATTCATAGTTTTCCCAACATTTTCTGTCTAACGAACGACGGTCGACAAACTGATTCACTCGCTTGAGATGTTTCTATCTGTTACCTATCTAAATATTGGAGGAAACTCCAGCTTAAAAGGCCAACTATTTCACTATATGTGATCCATAATAGTTGAGATGGCTCATAGATGAAGCACAACGCTCTTTGCGCTATCCAGTTCTTCCTTACCGAATCTGTTAGACAACAAGTTCACTTCCACTCTGCCTGCCCTTTGTTTATATCATTTTCGAAAGGAGGAAATATCAACTAGTGCCTAGTGAAATGCTTGTACATCGACCATGGATGAACATAACAGTTAAGAAGCTTGATATATGTTAGTGTTTTAGTATTTGACTGATTACTTTGACGAAAAACAATTCTCTCATAAAAAGAATATTGCGCACACACACTAGATCCGAATCAGCCGCTTGTTTGCTTTCTGTCATTTGTGCAATATTTCGCAAACAATATGTTATCTCCAACACAGCAACTCCACTACGGGAGCAAGTAACACTAAAATTCTGACGCACCTTGACACGGACGAGTTTATCGGCCATCTCCTCAAGTCGTTGGCGCATCTCGGATAATCGGAGTGCAAGCACTGGATGCTCAAAATCGAGTTGCTCAAGTTCCACCTGTACACGCTGATTGTTCTCGTCTAATCGTAGCAGCGATTCGTAGATCGACAGGAAGGACACTGAAGAGAAACGTCTGACATTCGAACAAGGAGACTAATGTAGAAGAAATAGAAAGATTTCCTACTAAGCGTTTAGGTGGTTCACGATGGCTCAGAATTAACTACTCAGGTACCCATCCAGTCGACTTACTCAGTGAGTGACTGATTTACGGTCCAACGCCTAAATCAATCTGTACCCACGGTACCTATTTTAAGCCTAATTTTTTGTACACGCTATAAGTTAAGATCAACTCTCCCCGAACCAAGTGCCCCTCCCCCATAATAAATGCATCGCCCTTCTGTTGCATTTTTAGCTTAAGGATGCAGTTTTTATACGTATTTTTCTCCCAATTTCAATGTTTTCCTTCGTTTTCTACGTGTTATCTAATTTTTAGTATATATATCCCCATGCTTTTGAAACACGATTCATGGTTTTTTTTTCGTTTTCAACTAAAGGGAAGTATTGTTCTCTTTCAATTTTTTGAATGATCATAGCATAAGACTTCTCAGTTCAACAGTGCTTTATTATAGATGCTCGCTAGCTGCTTATGGTGAATGTCTTTGATTAGTAAGGAAGAGTTCATTTTATGTCAGAATCACCTTTGGCAGCTTCATTAAGAGGCTCAACGAGTTCGGCAGCATCGGAAGCGTACGGTGCTCGATCACGAATGAATTCCGTCAACGTCTGCAGAACAGATGAACCGTCAGCCAGTTGTGCTGAGCACACCTAATATAGGATACCATCCATGTAACGTAGTTTATAAGTTCCAGCATTTTATATAATATATTTAGTGAGTATTCTAGAAAAGGAACGAAAGAAATGATGTCAGGACATATGTTATGACATTAGTCTACAAAGATTAAGATAACTGGCGCAATAGGTCATAACGTCTTTAAAGGACAAGTTTTCCAGCAAGTAATTGAAATGGCACAACTTCAGGTGTTTCATAAGCAGAAAGGAAAAGTTTTCTTAACTCTCTTGTTTTTCCTACTACATTACTATTCACTTTTCATATTCGTAACGATACAGATGGACGAAATGAACTGTAGAGTGGTATCCACGAGAACACAAACGTCCCCTAGAACGGCCACCTACACGTTGGGCGTACGTGTTTGTAAACAAAGTTAATCAGTTGTACCCGCGACTGCAGTTGTTTTACAGATCACCGTATGAGACTCGCACGAGCTACCATGGGAAAGAAACAACTGGTAGATGTGCTGGGGTCCGCACAACTTGTGAGGACGGATCATCCAAGTATCCAAGTAAGTATCCAACGATACGGATTGATTGCAATGTGCATGGTGCAAGAATAATAACCACTACCAACTCATCCTACTATAGTGAAATGCTAGTTTTCTAAGACTATTAACTGCAATCTTAACCTTTTTATTTACTGCCTATTCTTTTTAATGGCAGGGTAGGTTGCGAAGTACAACTTTCATAATGCTGAAATATTTGCAAAACTCCGGGCCGCAGGTGTCTGCGGTGGGGAACGAACGCGCTATTATCCTTTCCGGTGAGTAACGCGTTCACCACCACACCATGCGGGTCCTTCGTTTCGTCTGCCTGTTAACTGCTTTTTTTCTCATGCTTTCCTTCCTAGACTTCTGTTTCTCTAGTGTACCACCTCCTGTTGAAGTTACCGAATATGAGCGGCAAATTTTTAGAACCTAAGTTTCGTCCTATATCCTTTTAAAACTTATTTAGGAAATTCAGAACTTGAAGAATATCTCACACGAATTAATTGTGCTGTTAAGACGATAGAGCAAAGTCTGTTCTATAAGCCTGTAAAGTTCTGAACTCTCTAATGTGCGGATCCCAGCACTTCTCATATTCGATTCGTGTCTTCGCATCCATCATCCACGAAGGTGTTCTATCTTTTGCGTGCGGCTTCATCTACTGCTTGAGCATTTTCATTTCATCTTAAATGTCGAAGAATGCTGGTCTACTCGATTCTCCCTGGAGTCTTGAGATGGCCAGGTTGAAGCGTTCCCAATTGGATTGCAGAGCGATTTTTTTCCTGGGCAAGTCCGGCACAAAACGTGGAAAAATTGAAAAGTTGGAAAAATTACCGTCTGCTATCGGAAAACCAGCTTCATTGCGATTGTGTCAAAAAGGAATTCAGCAGTCATTTTTTTATGCCACTATCTCCTCTTTATTTGTATTTGTACTAGTGCAGAGACGTACTTCAGAGAGTTGGCTGGTGCAAAATCCTACAACGACTTTCTCGTCCAGCGAGGTACCGTTTAGGTGGTTCAGTAACGTGAGTATTGCCTGCAGTATTAACCGCAACTGTTCGGATTCTTGGACGAGTTTTGCTGCCGTCGAGTACGCGTTCAATTGCTGGAAAACAATATCGCTGAAAACATCGATATCATCAAAATCGAACCAGATCAAGACTTACCATTATGAATAATTGTCGATAATATTACTAGTAGTGAATTATTAATTCATTCAAAAATTTATGAGAAGAAAATGGTTACAGGACATGGTAAATTGTGAGTGTTTTATAGAATAAACAACTAAAGCGATATTTTATGCAACGACTCAAATAGAGATCTGTTTTAGCACACACGTTATGCTAAACTGAAATGATGGAAAATCCCAACAATATCTTCTAGACTTACCATTACCGGAATCTTATAATCGTCGACTATAAATGCTAGTTCGTGCCCAGCGCATAGGAGAGAAGTTAAAACTCGCCCAGGACGACTCGGCCATGTTTTTTCACATACTCTTTTGGCATTGATCAATCCTGGGGGATGCGCCATGCATTCGATTTCATTAGGCATCGCTTGAGGTAATTAAATGCATATCTGGCCTACACTAACTTGCGAGGCCTACTAATGTACCGAGTCAGTATTGCTATCCTCCCAGGTAGGTCCGGCACCAGTTTGCAGATTTCGGAGGGATGGAAGGCTTGATGAGCCTAGGACGCGTGATAGTACCTATGTGTATTCCAGGGAGCTTCTCACCACTGCGCTGTGCGCCCGTTTTTGCGTGAAGTGTGAATAACTCATGTGAAGTTCTTATTGTTCCACTTGAATCGCAACCCTGTTCTCCTATCCATTCAATCGAACAAGTCAGCATCAAGTGTAACAAGTGGAATTGAGATTTTTGATGATTGGAACTTTAGATAGGGGTATTATTTTCTGATTAACTGCTGATAACGTCAGTAAGCAATGGAAACAAAATTTTGCAGTTGTGTCTAAACCAAAAGGCACTTGACATGAAAAGGCAAACCTCATTGATAGCGTTGATTCCATCGTCGAAAGTTGCTGTATGTACCATCACCGTTAACTTTTCTTCGGCTCTTTCGATAGCAGCAAGCTAAAAGAAGAAACATTTGATGGTATACTGAAGGGGTGTATTGACAGAACAGCGCAAGTGGTTTCCGACCAGATAAATTTTGATCTAGAAAACCAGTGATTCTCAAAGAAACACAGCTCAATTTTTTCTTCGGATGGCTCAGTTTATACGAGCTTGTTATAAAAGTTTTATTAGGGTAACGTTTTTGAATCTCGATAAGGCGACATAGACACCATATCGAGAGTATAAACTACTGCGGACCATCGAGTCAGATCACTAGCTCTGAAGGGGGTAAAGACGTCGAAAAGTCAGCCGAATAAAACTCGTGTAACAATCTCACGTAAGCTGAACAACCTAAAGAACTTTATTGACTATTCACTTTGAGGTTAAGCGAAAGTCAGTTCAGTTAAGTACAACTCATTTTGCCGCCAGAGGTCTTCAGTATGGCGACTATGGCGACCAGTAAAGCATAACTGACGAAAAAACTTTCATGATTAGCTACAAGTATCTCCGTCTTTTGTCTTCTCTTTCCGGTATTTCGAAAGATCCATCAATTTCGATGGATCTCTTGAACATTGCACTCACATCGATCACAAATTGTTCGGCCTCCGTCCACTGCGAGTTCGGATGGGCGGCGGTGAAGCGGCGAATACGCTCGACGTCGGCGGCCGACGGCACAGCTTCTAGCACTAGCGACGCCCTGTCGACGGGCAACACCGTCATGTCGAGCCTGCCAACACTGAACCATGCTCTGAACGCTTCATGCCATCGCCAGGTATGTTCCCAGCTGAGGATTCTAATACTATAATACACATAAAAGAAGTATTTCGCTGTTCCTCTCCTACATTTCAGTCATTTTGGAAACGTCACTCTCTGCTGCCTAGTGTGTTACAGTATGCGATCGAATCGATACGGTATTCTAACTAATGTAACTGTTTTATCTTAGAAGGGGTTATTTGCACATTTTAATTCTACTTTAATCTACTCACCGATTAGATTGGCATATCGTCTGGATAGCGAATTCAACATTACTAGTATGATCATAGAGCACACAGGTTTTTAAGATTTTGAATGAAATTCGTCTAAATAGGATTGACCCAAGGGCTAACGAAGAAGTCAAAAATCGCCAGAATGATGTTTTCATGTTACTAATTGATTTCGATGGAACAGAAGAAACCGAAAGGAAAATTGTGGATAATTTTTGAGGAAAATCCCTTTCACCTGATTTATTCAAGGTATCACTTGCCACCTGTAGTCCAGCTGATCGTCGAGTGACTCGAGCGCGCGCCAGTAAATCTTTCGTTTTTCCTTGTCGCGTGTACGAGTAGTCCAGTGGGTTCCGCTCGTAATAGGGACTCGTCGAGCATCATATTTTTCTTCTAGGCTCTTCGTGAAAAACTCTGACCATCGGGTCGGTGGTGTTCCTGCAGTACGCTTGACATCGCGAGGAATCCAGTCACTAACGGCTCTTGTCCATCGGTTGTCATTCATACCCATTATGTGTCCAGCCCATCTTATCTTCGACTGTTTGGCGTACAGAATTGCACCTTTGATTTTTGATAGTTGACGTAGGTCTGAGCTTCAGATCCCATCCATTACTGCGTGTTCTATAACGATGAGTGACCTTTCAATCTCCTTACGCACGACCAGGTTTCTGAGGCATACGTTAGAGCGGGAAATACCGCTGAGTAGAAAAGGTGGGCACGGAGTCGGGTGTTCTTTGTTCTCTTCACTACATCCTCGATGCTCTTGAAAGCTTCTCAAAACGCTCGTTTCCTTCTGCTCAACTCTGGAGCTAAGTCGTTCATCATGTTGATTTCTTGACCTAGATAGACATAAATGGAGCATTCGGAAATATTAATTCCATCGGGCGTGAATTGGGGATATAATGTCAATCCGTTCCTCATAAACATGGCTTCCGTGAGAATTAGTCAAAGAACAATCCTTCCATAGAGGTTATCAGAGTCGACAAGCATTAGTTCCGCCCTGATGTTTGGTGTTGTTAGAAACATGTCATCAGCAAAGCGAATATGGTGTAATTGTCGGCCATCGATTTTAACCCTCATGTTGCCCCATTCCAATGTTTGCATAACGTTCTCGAGGGTGGCGGTAAGTAATTTTGGCGAGATGTTATCACTTTGCTTGCCCCCGTTTTAACGTCGATATTGATATCGTTATAAAATGGTGATAACTTGAACCAGCTTGCCCACACGGCCATCCTTAGTCCAATATTCTGCCACTCCTGTTTAGGATGACTGGAATGAAGTTTTTGTAGATGATACACAGGAAGATTGGCCGATAGCTACTAGAAAGTGACCTTTCTTAAACAATAATCCAAGCTTGCTGGTCTTCCACTGAGTAGAAGTTTGTTGCTTGCGCGATTCCACGTTGATTTACCGGCTACAGTGCTTCTGGATACAGGCGTCTCTTGATGACCTTCGAACTCTTCGCTTTCACAGCACTGACGTGAAGATGCTGAGTTGGCTGTTAGTATTCCCCGTCACTATTAAGAACGACGTATTCTCAGCATCCAACAAACGAAATGAATCACTCCCAGTTTAGTGCGGTGTTGGCATTTCGTGTTTTGAATATAGCGGACTTTCCTCCTCCCTGCAAGAAATGAAATCATGCACGAAGATGATGCCCTGATCCCGTGTGGAATTTTGGGACAACAGCAACATCGGTTAGGCAAAAGCATCGACTTCCTACGATGTGGTCTATTTCGTTACAGCACTCTCAGTTGGGAGACTGCCAGGTTCAGCATTGAGAGCGGGGCTTCTGGAATTGCGAGCTACCATGCATGGTCATGATCTTCATGATAATCTCAGACAATCACCCAGGTCGTTTCATTCTAATCCGTAAGTCCCTGTACGACATTCTTCAGACATTCTTGTGGATCCATTCTTAACGTTAAAATCTTCAATAATGACTTTGTATCGAATGTGTATGAAGTGGAACATTTGGTATAAAAACTCCAAAATAACTCAAAATAGGGTGCAAAATGCTTTTTAGCACCGGCAGCAATGTTTTAGGATGTTTGGCAACAGTAACACACAGTAAATAGTAGCATAAACATCATTCTTACCAATATAACGATAGAGCAATTCCTCTTCTACAGTGCTTCAGGTTTACAACCTCCAACCCCTCCAAAGCTCTCCAGTTACCACAAAATTACTTTTTATTTTCAAAGAACCAGAAAGTCTGCAACCGATGAGAAATTGCTCGTATTCTCTACAGGTGATGAACGACCCGCATCCATTATTGGTTAATTGAGGGGTGTGAACTCTTTGATCATACAGCCCAATATGAGCCTTGTCCTTCTATACTTCATACGAAATCATTTTTACTAATTTGAATGAACATTAACTCAGTGAAGGCTGTGACCGTGTTGCTGAAGTTGGGCGAAATTTCGATGATCAAGAGCTGTACTGTGACAATGAAGTGTTAGTGCAAAATAGACGTCTTCTCGGATATTTACAGTTGGTCCCACCTGTGTATAGAGAATTCGATTTCGAATTTTTTCAGGTTTACTTTTCTGAGAATATCGGTAACACGTTGATGTTGTTCTTCGCTGAGAAGCGCTATATCGTCTTCAATCTGGTCACGAACGTACTGAAATCAGTCGTTTGTTCAATATTTGATGATAAAGTTGGAAATCCCTTCTCTCTATATTGGCGAGCTGACAAAATAAACTTTTCGTAATATCGCATAAAAATCCGTGTTTTATAAACTGTGATGATGCACATACACAAAACGTAAGAAAACTACAGGAAAGGTTCAGTAATGTAGTAATGTAATAAAAAATAGTGTAATGTACAATGTAAGTCCAACAACGGCAATTAAAAATAATATAATTAGTTTAAGGGGCAGATAGTACAGTGGCAGTGATGTGGATTATCACAAGCACGAGCTGGTTCGCTCCCGTTGCGGGCTCACCAAGCCTCTCATCCCTTGGAGGTGGAGAAATTAGTGCCACAGTTGCCTCGGAAAAAATTTTATTCTCTGAAATCCACATGGGACCACCTTAGTCTGGTCTTCTCAGGACTTCAGGGAGAATCGACTGCAGCGGCATTCAACAACATCCATGACGAAAGCAAAATGCTCAAGCAGCAGGCCATGGTACATGTAAGAAGTTGAAGATCTTTGTGGAATATTGATGCGAAGAAATAAATCGAATTTGGAAAGTGATGGGACCCGTACAGTAGACGTGAAACAAGGGTCGTGTGAAAGAAAAGAGCGAGTTTTACAGCTAACAAATAAAAGACACATGAAGAAGAAGTGAAGTGAAGTGAAGAAGTGTTCACTGAAGTGTGAAGAACGAGATAAAAAAGTCGAGTAGTGGTGAAAAGAAGTTATTACATTGTATACCAATAAAGTAGATACAGTATCGAAACATTGTTAAAAACAGGTACCGTTCCTCACCTCAACGACCTCGGCGGTTAAAGCGGTCGGCACAGCTTCAAATATCGTATCCTTAACTTGTTCGTCATCCAGTACAGTAGCGGATGGAATTGTTTTCAAGTATCTGGAACATTCGAAACTTTCTTCCTAACCTTGTTGAAGATTTTTTCCTTATTTTGCACTACATTGTGTTTATTAAAGTGTTTTTACTCTGCGCAAACAAATAACATAAGGTTAACTAATTATGACAAATATTAAAACAGTGAAAGTACATTACGCTGAAACGCAGCTGTCGTACAACAATGAAACATTAAAGGAGAACAACAACGTTGGGAATAAGGACAGAAGAGCACCTCGGCTGAACGGATTCACCAGGTCGTGATGTCTGTGGTCGCATTGACAACACAAAATTCGATAGTGAACGTCCTCCTATAACTAAAAAAGGACAAACGGGAAACCATCGTAGATGGACCTAGGGTATCCGATTAACAATCGGAGCCCTAAAAATCGAGAATTCCGCTCACTTTTACTTCGTAGATCCTCAGCAGAACCTGACGACGAGACGCCGTTATCCAACGAGTCGGCGCTTTCCAATTTTATTGTCTGTAACGATTTTGGTGAGTGGAAACCAGTAGAGATGATTTTTTTCAGAAACTGAAGCACGAAACCACTAGCAATAATGGACTTTGAACGATTAGGCGAATATCAGTGACTTTTTGCTTGTGTTACAGATTATTCTAAGAAAAATTTGTGAAATAAAAGGCAAAGAAAAACGGTAATGAGGAAGTAAAAAATGAGGATACGATGAAAACTTGTTAGACAAGTGGCCTCGTTATAGTCCGCGGCGATATCGGTGTAACCGCTTTTCACTTCAGTCCTTTTTTGCTTGCAGTGAAAATTGCTTGTTCGAAAGTCTTTTTAGTTCACACTTCACCATATCCACTTTGAATGTTGGAATAAAAAATAGCTTTTCAAAAGCAAAAAGAAAGTCGATAAAAGCGAGGATCCTGCTGTCGGAAAGCCTAAAAATTAGCCGCCCATGATATGAAGAAAAATTTAAGTCTCAATTTCTCACTCTGTTCCCAGCAGCCGTTTGAAAACGCATTTTAAGCGGTCGACTATTCCAATAAGGTTCTATGCCCTCTTTCATGATTTGCTTTCATAAAAAACACCTACTAAGCGTATCAGGCTTGTGCAGAATTTACAAAGCGCTTATGAGTCTTTTTTCCTCATTTGGAGCCAAAGTCAGAGCCCAAGTTACCTTGTTATCAGTTCGTCCGATCTTCCCATCTAAGGTGTTCGCTGTCAATTTATTGTTATTGTTAACCATTTGAGGGAATATTGACAACGGGCTCATACTGTAACAAAACATATGTAGGTCAAAAAACAACTAAGTGAAAGTAAAAATGTTCGCTTTAGCTAAGTATGATGAATTGAAAGTAAGGCTAACCCTTGAGCAGCAGCCAGTAGAGCTTGCTGTTGTTGTAGTGCTAGCATGTCATGTTGTGGATGAACCATCATTGGCCGTCGAACATTCGAATTCTAAACAATAAGATAACGATTAGTGTTTAACTAGCTTCTAGCACTAGTTCTAGTTTAATGTTCCATATTCCGAAAACCCGAGGATCTCCGTGATAGAACGATGCCGTGCTGGTTTGTTGAGAGGGAACGTGGAGCATCCCAGGTGGAGGATAGAGGGCTAATTTCAGAACAAAAGCGGCCTCATGTTTCCCTGAGAGGCTGGTGGATCAAGGAGACAGAGTCCCTGTTTCTTCTGTACTAATTTCGCATATGTGTCTGTGTTTACGAAGACATATTCATGCATGTATCGTGGCTGTGCTCTCGTCCATGCGGACTATATTCTACGAGTCAATGCGGCCAAAAGCCTGCAATCAAGTGACAGGAACGTATATGGGAAGCAGTTAGGAGCCGCCTCCAACAGATAAGTTCCTTGTCTAGTCTGTGAGAGACTGGCGAACTACCCCTGTCACCAAGTCCAGAAGTCAGCAAGAAATACGTGAGTACCAAACACTAAATGCAGTAGAATGAGCGGGCCTCATTTCCCTGACAACGAGAGAGCTCTGATACGGCAACGTTGGATAGGCCGACTACGGGGAGGCCGCTAAAATCCTAAGTCCACTCTCGGCTGCTTAAATCGCAAACGACTACGGTGACGATCAATGCCTACATTGCATATACATTTCTCCTGAGTCCCCGATAGAAGAGGTGACCATGCAGACAAAAAGGACGACGTCGTCGGACTGGCCTACACGATAAGACGTCAACGCCGTCTATGGCACCGGAGAAAAACTTTTACTCGGAACGTGCGACAGTAGAGGAATCGGCGGCTTCGGCGTTCTTGTCAACACGAGTTTGGTCAAGAACACCGATCCATTTGAACAACTTACAACCCGAATCGGACGTTTACGATTGAGAAGATGTAGATAAATACCTGATTTGAGAATCTTCGTCATTTACGCAGCAACATCAATCTATAACGAAGAAGAAGTCGAAGCGTTCTATATCGACTTCGAGAAGTTCTGCAGAGAAGACCGTATATTGTTCAAGGTTATCATTAGAGATTTTAAAGCTAAGAATGAACCAAGAAGAACGTATGAAGAACGTCGCATTGAGACCAACGCATTAGAATGGAACGAAAAGGTTGAACGGCTTTCGGGGTTTATTATGCAGACCAAGCGCTTTCATGGTGAGTCACAATTCCAGATGTTCTACCCGCAACGCTGGATGTGGGAGTCTTCCAGTTGAGAGCACCGTGACGAAATAAATCACATTATAGTAAGTCGATGCTTCTGCCTAACCGATGTCGCTATTGTCCCAAGATTCTACACGGGATCGGACCATCATCGTCTTCGTGCAAGATCTCATTTCTTGCAGAAAGAAGAAAAAGTCGCTAAATTCAAAAAACGAAGTGCCAAACCACCGTAAACTGGGATTTCTTTAATTCGTTAGTCGGCTCCAGGAACGATGGCGTTCTCAATAACATCGAAGAAGAATGCGATCGGCTCGTTCAACATCTTCACGTTAGCGCTATGAAAGGTGAGAGTTCGAAAGTCACCAAGAGACGTCTGTTTCCAGAAACATTTGAGCTGATACGCCAGTGTGGAATCGCATGAGCTGCAGGCAACCGCGAACTAACGTCCGAACTTGCAAAACAATGCAGAAAGGCGATAAAAGAAGACCTTAAAGAGAGAAGAGCACCAGTAATAGTCGAAGCTGCAGAGGCCGAGAAAACATTCGCAAAGCCCACTGAAGCTTCGCCAGTTACAAGACCAAAATGATTGCACCCCGGCGCCCAGACGGAAGAGTTACAACGTCCAGAAAGGCTATGGAGAAAATCATTCACGAATACTACTCGAATCTCTTCGATAGCAACGTCCACCTTCCGTCATAGGAAATAAAAGAGCTTGGATATGTTGTACCTCCGGTTTTCCTTCCGAAATCCGACATGCCATTTCGTCGGTGAAAAATCGGACAGCACCAGGTCCGGACAGGACAGGATCAGAACACCTGAAGAACCTTCCACCAGTCCTCGTAAGCACAGTGGCTCAGCTCTTCACACGTTACCTGTCTGAATGCAAGGTCCCTACTCAGTGAAAGACCAGCAAGACCGTGTTGTCGTTCAAGAAGGGTGACCTGCGCGATATCGGCAACTATCGCCCATTCTGCTTGCTGTCTGTCGCCTACAAACTTTTTACTCGAGTCATCCTAAACAAGATTGACAGAACACTGGGCGAAAGACAGCTATGTGAGCATGCAGAGTTTCGAAAAGGACTCAGTACGATGGCCCATATCCACGCGATAACAAGACTCAGCGCAGTATCACGAGAGTACAAGAGACCGCTCTATCTCATTTTCATCGATTTAAGGAAAGCTTTCAGCTCAGCTAAGATATAAGCTGTCATAGAAACCCTGTACAGCCAGAGAGTCCATACCCAGTATATGAGGATTCTTTATGAGCGATATTAAGCCTTTACAATTAAAATAGTACCATTCTACAACGATCTTATATTCGACGTCAAAAGAGGGGTTAGGCCATGCGATACCATCTTACCAGAATTACGTTTTTTACCATCAAACTCAAAAACATCATGTGAACACTGGAATGGACAATGTGGAAGCGAAAATCGATGGTCGGGAATTACATCATTTTCGCTTTGATGATGGCATCGTTCTCATAACACCAAGTTTTAACCAGGTGCAAAGATGGCTTCCCGACTTTGATAACGCCTATGGGAAGACTAGGCTTCGGCTAAGTCTCACAAAACCATGTTCGTGAGTGACGGATTGGTTTCTACCCCTCATTCACGCTTAGCGGATCGAATATCTCTAAATGCTCCAGTTATGCCTATCTAGGTCGGGAAATCAACATGATAAACGCCTTAGCTCCAGCGTTCAGCAAAAGGAAGCAAGAATTGGGATGCTTTTCAAGAACACTAAGGAGCTAGTGAATAGAACGAAGAACGCCAGACTTCGTGCCCAGCTTTTCTACTCCACAATTCTTTCTGCCTTAACGTATGCGTCAGAAACCTGACCTGTACGTAAACACCACGAAAGATCAGCGTTGTAGAACGCGCTGTCAAAAGGGCGATATTAGGAGTATCCCGTATCATCCAAATGAGGGAAAGGATCCGAAGCTCTGAAGGGACAAATGAAAAGTTTACTGGCACTGGCTCGGGTAACTCGACGGACAACAGGACGAACATAGGTTTTACAAAAAATGCTTATGTTTTAGTTACTTTTTATCGTTCGATAGAAGGAGCTCTAAATGAAGTTCTGGAGCTGAACGAGGTGACATCGAACAACGGCAGCACTGTTTCCGTGGTTGTTGTCGCCATTTTCCTCACCATTCCCTCTTCATCCGCCTTCGTCACCTCCTATCAGTAATATTGTGCCATTTAGGCGCAACATCTTGTCACTGATTTTGTGATAAGCTTAGCTCAACAGAAAAAAGAATACGAAAAGAAGTTATATCAAAACTGCAAGGTTTCATTCAAGTGGAATTTTTCATACCCTTAAGAATTGTTGATCATAGGTATCTAAGTTTTCATGAGATATATATTTTGTCCAACATTTGAAAGGCCAAATAGTTTCCAAATACGGTCGAACCTGTTGGCTATTCCTTCGGCTGACTGTTGACTGTTGAGGGCTTGTAGGCGAACGAGGAGAGGAGCGACCTTGCATTGGACGTCCTCGACCGCGAACTGTACAAAAGGGTATTATATAAAGCTGGCTAGCATAATAAAATAATTAATAGATTCAAAGATGCGCTCATATTTGCGACAGGTGGAGGATGTGGTATTCCGGTTGCATGTCCAACCAGATACGCTATGAGATGGAAACGTACATGGTAAAGTCGCAACTGTCGTCACGGAAACGTTCCCCTTATTCACAAAGAACCGCTAACCTATGGTATACCAATCCCAACACAATTTTAGTTCATTAAAGTTGAAAACATATTGAGTCCACTTGCACAGTTGTGCAGAGTGAACCTTACAAGAAACGTCGCTAATTTACCCAAACCTGTAAATATCTGAACATGAAACCTTTACAACCACAACGTTGTTGAGATATTTGCAAAACTCTGGACCGCAGGCGTCTATGGTGGGGAGCGAACGCGCTATTGTCCTTTCCGGGGAGTAGCGCGTTCACCACCACACCATGCGGGTCCTTCGTTTCGTCTGTCTCTCAGCTATTTCTATCGATCTTTGCTACAACAATCACCTGTCAGCGGGATTGATCTGCCGCGAATTTATAGTAGGCAGAAAATATAAAGGTATAACATAATAAAACCTTTAGTTCGGATGTAGAGACATACTTCGGTAACATTCCCCATGTGACAGATGTTACACCATCCGTTCCAACCGTTGGACCTTGTGAACAGCTCCTTGGTATGGTAACACCTCAGCGGTGATTTTGCACCTGATCACCTAAGTTCCAAGCCAGCACACTGCTTCAGGATCAAGTGTTATCATGTAACCTTTCGAAAGGTGACAAAAGAGGCTTCACTTAACCCATAAAGCATGCAAGCCATCTAACGTGGCTTTGCGAATCGAAGACGGGCGAATTCTCGAAGACTGCAGACTTTTTGGTTTTTTGGCAATAAAAAGTAATTTCCCGCCAACTAAAGTGCTTTACTGGTGGTAAACATGAAATAACTGTAGAAGAGACATTGCACTATTGTAAGTGGGTAGGAATGATACGTATGCTACTATTTACTGTGTTTTTTACATCCGCATATTCCATATAGTGGTTGCAGTAATTAAAACAAAAAAACAACTAAATATTGGTCAAATTGCCGTTCAATGAACTCTTTTGACAAAGGTTTTTTGCAAATCACCAAGTGCAGTGGAAGGTTTTTCCAGTTTCACCCCTCCTATGTTGATCTGCTTTCGACTAGCTCTCAGATATACATGGTGCAGTGAAAAAAAGAAAAACTCCGGAAACCATTAAGCCGGATGGACACAACAGCGTCCATAAAAAAGGTAAGGGTCAACGAGGTAAATTTTATAGACTCGTACACACTAAGTTACCAAGCACTCGGTTTCCCACATAACATGGAGTGCTTGTTGAACTATTCTTTTTTTCTAACTGATAACCTTCTTCTACTTTTCCGCTTTCTATATAACATCAGCAATAGTCCTTCTATTAGACTCTGAAGAAGGCGAAGGCGACGAAGTGTTAGTTGGATGAAGTTAGGTAGCAACCTTGTTCTAGCCTATCAACGAAGGAAGTAGGCCTTGGTTATTGATAGCTATGTTGAATGAAATTCACTTTGAAAAAAAAAGAACATGCTCTTGTCATATACACCGTAGCCTTAGGATGATCGGTAGTCGCTTATAAGCGCCATTGAGTTGGTTTTTCCCAAAATCTGTAATTCTGCTGAAAAACGGTAGTGTCAAGTGGAAGTTAGAGGCAGGAGGTTGCAGGTAACGATACCCTTTCAAACAACGACGTTCAGAGTGAGAAGAAGATACCAGAAAAAGTCGAAAAGTGACGATTCTTTCCAAAGACAAAGATCGCTGCATTTAAGACTCATAAGTATAACTCATTAGTCACATTACTGATTGCTGATGGCAAAAGATCGATGGAACTAGCTGAGAGACAGGCGAAACGAAGGACCCGCATGGTGTGGTGGTGAACGCGTTATTCCCCGGCAGGGACAATAGCGCGTTCGTTCCCCACCGCAGACACCAACGGGCCGAAGTTTTGCAAATTTCTCAGCATCATTGAAGTATATATTTTGCAATATATACCTTGCCATTAAAAAAAGAGTAGGCAGTAAATAATAAGTTAAAATTATAACTCATTAGTGTTCATCTGAAAACACCGCATTTTTTGAAAGAAAGCCAATAACATATTGAACGGCATACTCCTTAGTCATTAATACGCATATAACATCTCATTAACCGTAGTCTGTTTTTCCTCTTTTAAACTAAGTTTGTAGACCATGCAAAGGTGTGCCAGAGTATCAGAAGCACGTCGAATAAAATTTGAATGTTTCTCGAACACACAACTGCTCGATAAGCAACGATGTCGCCGCCGCCTAAGCAATTTTGCAAACCGCAGTTGTGCTACGACTAACCCGCTATCAGGCTGATCATAAACCATATTCTATAGCGATAAACGGTGTTCCGTATTCTCAACAACAAGTTGAACAGTTGAACAAGGAACAATCGTTGTTCGAGAAGTCGATTGCAGTTGCCGGTTCGTCAACCGGAGTTCCACTAAGATTGACGATGCGCAGGTTGGAGAGCACTTATTGCTATGAATTTGCAAGCTCCATGTGTGGGTAGTCTACATCATAACATTAAGATTTAATACCGTGTGATAAGACCAACTAGAATAGACCGTACCATTTGGAAAGCACATCTTCATAAATTCGTCCACTTGAGCCGCATACTTATCCATATAGCTGATCGGATCACCCTGGAAATTTTACGAGTTTTGATCAAGAACCAAAAAAAGTGAAAAACACATTCATTACAAAAAGTACATTTAATATTATTAATACTTAACGGTAAATATGATTCGGAATCAGCTCCCGATCTACATGACAGCTTAAGGTCAACGTGCCGAGAGAAAGCTGGAGATAAACTTTTGACTGATAATATTAGAGAAATGAAACGGTCAGATTGTCAAAGCGAAACACTGAGCACATATTGGCTCAGCTACATTAGAAGGCATTTAAAATATGGTAAGATATTAGCCTTTACTTGAAAAGCAACGTTGTTCAAAAGAAAATTATCCTTTCTTAGTTTATGAACACATGCCGCCAGCTTAATGAAGTCGGCTGATCTACGTTTCCTTCTAAATTTTAGAGCGGTGTTATTCTCTTAGAGCAGCTCCTGCCAACTTCAAAATGCTACTGTTCATGCTCATGTTCAAAATTCTCTGCAATCAAATGCTAAAGTGATAAATGGATAGATGGGGTCAAGTATGTATGTGTGTATGCGTGTACGTGCATATGTCTGTAAGTGAGTATATGTGCATCTCATTGGTTCTTACTTACAGCAAGTCCATGAAGTGAGACCATATGACTCTTAACGTTATTCTTCGAGTATGTAGAAGTGAAATCACAGGCTGGACACTGGAACATCGGTTTAGCCACATGACATTGTCGGATATGACACGGAAGTTTCGATGAATGCACATCTTTTTGGCAGATCACACAGAATTGGAATGTGCACGGATAGGACTGAAATAAAACGAGAGCTTTAGTCGTTCAACTATGATAAGAACATAATGCTGAGATATTTGCAAAACTGCGGACCGCAGATGTATGGGGTGGGTAACGAAAGCGCGCTGTTGTCCTTTGCGGGGAGTAGCGCACTTCACTACCACACCATCCGGGTCCTTCGTTTTGCCTGTCTCTCAGCTAGTTCTGTACCCTGCCATTAAAAAGAAAAAGGCAGTAAATAAAAGGGTTAATATCATGAGAATGTTGATCGAACAAGAACTGTATTCCTTTGCAACAGTGGTTGACGGTAAACTTCTTTCACGTTTTCACCACCGTAATGACTAACGAACGATGCTTGTGTTGGAAAAACGTCATTGAAATGTGCGTTCAATAACAATCTCGTAATCATTTCATACTTAAGCGAATTCTCAGCACACTGCATGTCATATCGTAATGATTTAGACATAGTTGTAATGACTATAGTCAAACAATTATCGTTGCATGCTATCCAGCCTTTCAAATAGTACTGTAGCCAAGAGGACGCGTCTAGCAAAATGGTTCAGGGTGCGCTGCGATGGAAATGGTCATTTGTTCAATCCCAAGCCCCAGGTTAAGCAAATCCCATCGTTTCAGCTTTGCCAAGTCGCTACCATACTTGTCTGGAAGGATAAAAAACAGTGAATCGATGTACCGAAAAGCAATCGCAAGACTTTGTAGAAGATAAATACGCTTTAGGTAACCTCTACGATACTACGAATGTCACTGAATCTATGGTGGACCACTATGAAATGGAATAACGTGGACACTGCTCTTTGCACAAGGTACTGGTGAAAAACTACGACAGAATACCAGGAAAGCTGATGTATTAAAGAAACTGAGATAAATCATTCACCCGCTCGAACAGTTTGTTAGAGACTTTTCTTTCGTACGGCTTTCAGAGTTGTGCTGCCCACATAGCCACAGTTGTTCATAAAGTCAATAGAATCCAAACATGCCGAGACACTCACCCTCTTCCGTTCGGGTGGTGTTGTCTGTTGCTGTTGTTGCTGATGAAGAGCAGCTCGCTGTTGTGCAGCTGCTTGCGCTTGAGCATGAAACTGCAACGAACTGACTTCCTATGATGAAATGTTAAGTTAATAATGAGAATAACAGCTAATTTTACGCCCAAACCATGTTTTAGAGAATAGGTCCCAATTAGACAAACAGTATTATAGGGATAGCACAGATATTGAAATCGAATGAAAACACATCTACTAGTTTTCTTGTCCAAAATGTTACCCGCTTTTTTTCTAAACGCTTCTAATTCTTCTGGAGACGAATTAGTGAAGACTGCATGCTACGAAGGAGTCGTGTTTTACGTCGGCCGAAATCGACTGATGAGTTAACAAAAATCGCTGCTGCCACAGAAACTAATGCAGTCTTGAGAGACGCAGGCCAGAAACCTCCACAACCGAATCCGATCTGATCAGCTCAATGGGTGACAGTTAAGAGACATGGAAACAAATGGGAGAATAATCTGACCCGCACCACATCGAAAACATATATGATCTATTTTTTAGAAAGGCAAGTGTTTTACAAGAGGAATAAAACGTGCTACTATTGTCTGAAACCCACCTGTGCAACTGCTTGTTGAGCTTGAAGAAATTGAAGCAGAGCAGCTGCATCCGACACGCCGAAAAGTGGGTTCGCCATTGGTGGGAGTTCCTTAAAAAGTAGTATTGCTTGAAGTAAAGCAAAAAAGGAAGCATAGGGGAAGTGAACGACTTTTCAGTGCATTTCAAGAATCAACGTAGAGTCGGTAAAGGAAATGTCAAGAATAAAAGCTAATAGCAAGGTTTTGTTATTCAATTATTTAGCAACGATGACGAGAAAGAGAACGAAAGTAGAAGGAAGAAGCATGAAACAGAACTTCAAATAACGTTTATTAAACTAATGACATGTGACTAATATATCCAGGCACTCAATTCTAACTGGAGGGAATGTGCCTCATCTAGCAGGCAGTCAGTACAGCTCTTCTTTATCCGGAAAATATTTAGTGCAGGTTAAGCCAAAGTAATACAATTTGCTGCGCTGTCAAATTTTAGAGTAATCTCACCCTCAACGTTCTGGATGACTCTCATTCTCGAGATTCCGAATGGATCTCACTTTCAAGATCTTTCTCTCTCTCTCTCTCTCTCTGTAGCAAGATTCCTCACGAACTTCGTGTTCAGGATTCTGGACGGATCTAACAAAGGTTTTGGATATATCTAATTCTTAAAATTTCGAGTAAATTTCATTCTCAAATATTCGCTGATTCTTTTATTCAAAATTCCGAGCGAACCTTATTTCAAAAGTTCTTGATGAATCTCTCTTTCTCAAGATTCTGGATGATTTTCTAGATCTTCGACTTATTTCAAACTGACAGACTCAAATCATTATTGTAAGTGATTTCAGTAGAGAAACACGGATTCGAACCTAAGAGATCAGTCGTTAACAGGTCGAAAAGCGCATCTGAAAACGACACTGAAGGAAGACCAATTCGCGTTGGCAAGTGCAGAGATAAAATCAGTAAGAATTAGAACACAAAAAAGCAGTAATGAAACGTCTTGATAGCATTCCTTCATTCCACTCTGAAATCGAAAAACCCTTTCAAGGAGACCAATGTCGGAAGACAATATGTTTTCTTTTTGAGCGAGTTGTCTGCTTATACACACGTACACCTTTTGCAGTGACACTTTTTATTTCTGACCTATAGAGCTGCGAGGACAGTAACTTTCTTTTACGGAAACAAAAATAGACGTAAACAACGAGGCTATGAAATTTTAACTGCTATATCATATCCAATGGATACTATGTCCTCTAATCATTTACTGCTACATCGTGTTGGGAGTTGTAGAGGAAGGGTGGGTGAACCTCCGCGTCGATTTGCGACCTACAGCGATGGTTCATTCTTCTATTTCCAAGCTGAGTATGAGTTCTACGTTTCTTTCCAGAAACCCATCTAGAGCATACCAGTGGTAGAAATCACCGGTAGCAACCTAGTCGAGATGCTGCGAATCTCTCTTCTCCGATTCACAAGCGCCTGCGAGCACCATTGATCGCTTAGAAAGTCCTAGCACAGCTATATCCAGGCTTCAGAGGAAGAAAATCCATGTAGGCAGCAAATTGTCAGTGAAATAAAATTGTGCTACGTCCGAATAATTCTCTATGAAAACGAGTCATTGATGTAAGCAAATAGGTTTGGTGTATACAGGACTACTAGCTCGAGACGAATCCAGAACGCCGGAAATTTTGTAGTACTCTGCATAAAAATTCTGAAAGACAAAGTCGTCTGCCGAAACTCTACATTAGTAATGCTGTTAGGAGCGCAATCGAACAGCATCAAGCTCTGGTGCGCTTTTTTCTATTACTGGATAGAAGGTGCCGTTGGAAGTATATTAGGCTCTCTAGTGGTGTAGGTTTAATTTTATCTAGGCTATCAGATGAAGAGGTCGAGTTCTTCAATTCTTCAGTAATACAGTATAGTCGTGAGAATCCGCTTTTGATGTTGAACGAACTGTTACGGACTGAAATTGCGAGCATAGGAGCGCTCAGCTTTAATCAGCGTTTGCACTATTTATCAGTCAAGCTAGGTGAATAGGTGAGGTGCTCAGACTTATCGAGAGACAAGCCATCCTGTCCACGATAACACTCGAGGGCGTTTGTGAACGACTGGGCTGTCAATCGGGCGCTGTACGAAGAAGGTATGATTAAGTCGGCAGATAAAACAAGTTGGAGTTCATTTGGGAAACATTGTATGGTAATCGGTATGCGGTAATTTTGCAATGGTGATAAGATTGATAAAGATAGAACTGTTCACAGCCAATGTTTATGCTACTGTGGATTCATAAATAAACAAATAGAGCTCATAAAGCATCCCCACTTCTACACTTACTGATTTGTCTGTGATGAGGTTGATCACATACTATACTAGGTGATGAAGTTCTTCTGCGGTTATTTAGCAATTATGAATAAAAGTAGGAAGAAGATACGATACTTTAAGGATTATGAAGAAGAAGACTTTCAGGTGAATGGAATAATGACGCAATAATTTTCAGTATGACTGAGCTCACATAAAGTTGCTACAGAAAATTTTCGTTTGCCTAACGTTTCAACGCTTTTGCCTTCTTCGGAGTTGCGTTAATTCGAGTCCATGGTTCAAAGTTGGTCGTCGTAGTATTCGTAGTCGCATCGAATCGAATTCACTAGACGGAGCACCGCTCGACTGAGGAACCTTATTCGACGGTACACCCTTCTAAGATATTGTCACCCTACGCACCAACAAATGAAGTACCGACTGCTACAAGATGCATTGTTTTTCTGAAAATCAAATCATATTGGATGGCAACTGATTAACACTCGTCCTGTATGAAAGGGCAACGTCGACTGAATCTCTCCAGTTGAGTGGTGACCCCAATACTAAATTCGATTCTATGCGGCTACGAACACCCACATCGCCAGAACGACGGGACAACGTACTAGGATAATCGGCTCTGAGAAAGACGAAGGAGTTGAAACGTTAGCCGAATAAAAATTACCAGTCTCGTGTAAGCTCGGTAATCAAAAAGAAGTAGTACTTCGAATAGATTTCAAGCGCAGTTGCGTCAAGGTAATGGAAAAGAGTAGCAGCAGAAGAATACGGGAAAGTGGTAGGGCGCTCTGCGTCCGTGTAAAAGAGCACTGAGACGGCATGCCTAAGGTTGAACAAAATTCTCCACTAGGAGCGCACAGGAGGTGCAGACATAACGGAGAGGATTTCGAAGAAGAAGTCACCATTCTCGCACAGAAATCCAAAACTTCTTCAAGAACTTCTTCCCAAAAGTAAAAGTATTGAAGCGCTCTGGATAAAATCCAAGAAGCCAAAAGTGAACCGCAAAGAAGAGTGCTTTGTGATCACGCATGATCTTGCGCCGTATCTTAAATCGATTTTTTGATCTGAGTCAGGCATACTTCTCACCCATGTAAGGCTCAGTGTGGCTGGTCTTCAATAATAACTGGAGGACTTATAAAGAATAGAACGGTGAGTGACAACGTGCGTCGCCGGAAAGGGTAATCGCAGGTTCGTATCAAGTCTGGGGTCTGAGCTTTGCAGATATCGCGGCATCACTTTGGTTCTATTTCACATAAAATACCTTGGCATGAAAAGAAAGATTAGCAGTAAATATAGGTCTATTATTGCGAAAATGGTATTTAAGGAAAGCTGTTCACTATCTGAGTAAACAATTATTCATTTGGTCCCATTTGCTGAGGTTATGAAAGCGTCTGGCTGGGTAGGTTGCGTGTCATTTGGACTCGTGCAGGCTCTGAAGAAGGTGAAACCGCCGAGACGTCAGCCAGTACTGTGAATGAATAAACGATGTAATAACAAACTGGTGTCTGCTGATCAAAAGAACAGTAAAAGATACGAAAATGTTTGTGTTGGCAGGCTAGGATAATAGAAGCTCTAGTAATTAACGGTCACGTTCTGCTCCGGAAAACGTAGAGTTTCTCACTTCAATGATTTTACACGCTTTAACAAAATCAAGAAGAATTTCATTCTTTCAGTTATCAACCGGGAGCTCGTCTACCTCTACAATCTACTAATTTACTTGTCTCGCTATACAGATTATCATTTTACTAAACTGCTGTTGCACTAACTGAGTATACGGTAAATTCAAAACAAATTCAGTATTTCCACAGAACGGAATCCTAAGTTGGGGAAGGACAAGAATTGAGAATGAAGAATTGCATAGTCCTTGGCTTGAAAAACTTCTAACACCTTTCGGATTTGCGGACTAAATGGATAGAAGAAAACCGAGACTCAGGATTGGGAAAAGCACTTAGGAAATTACATTGAATTTCCATCATGAGACATTTCTTACATTTTTCTTTATTTAGAGATATCATTGATGATTATGACGTAAAGGTGAGAAACTCGTCCACAGTTAAATTGTGTAATCTGCAACCACCATCTCTTAAAAGCAAATCGAGCATGAATGTGGACGAGTTGTTGTCTATCTTTTTCGTAGTCTACTATAAATATCAATGATTTAACCGGTTAATGATACCATAGAAAGACACTAGCAAACGAAAGAGCAAGCAGTATTTGGTGGACGAATTTCCAGTAATCTGTAGCAGACTTTCGCTTTCACAGGGACGATCTGTGTTCCACCAGAAAAGTAATTAATGATTCTTTCTCACCGGCTTTTAAATGATAACCATGAGTCAAACATGAATTTCTGATCAGTTTCCTATGAATCATAGAGAATGTGTTTGCATTAAACACTTATTAGTACTGGTTTTACTCTCAAACAATCTATTTCGGAAAAATCAATAATCGATTGCTAGAAAAATCCAGGCGTTCTCAACAGTGGTATTGATCATACTCTCTGTTTATAAAGTAGGCATATGCAGCAATGCTGCAATGTATAGCATGCATGTAAGCTATACTTGCTTATATAAATTTGCTTTTGAAATACTTATAAAGTAATGTTAACTTTTTATTTATTGTCTATTAGAATCTTCACGGAAAGATTATAATAGGGAATAAATAAAAAGTTAACATTGTGATCCACAGCCTTAGCCTAACTGGGTTCATTGCCGATTTGGGCTCCCTAGATCAAACCCGTTGACGGATGATTGCTGATTGCACTGATCGATAGGACTAGCTGAGAGACAGGCGAAACGAAGGATGAGCATGGTGTGGCGGTGAACGCGCTACTATCCGGAAAGGATAGTAGCGCGTTCGTTCCCCGCAGCGGATGCCTGCGGTCCGAAGTTTGGCAAATATCTCAGCATCACTGTACTTAGAAAGCCTCCAAATCAGTGATGGGTGAGGGACAATTAAAGAAGAACTGATTGAAAAATTACATATACTCTTTAAGCAATTGGCAAATTTTCTTCGACAAGCGTGTAGTGTTCTCAACCCCTCCTCTACCTTATCCATAGAGAAATCGTTGCAAGATTTCGAAAAACTAGCTTCACTGGGTAAAGGTTAGAAATCTTAAAGATAATTGAGTTTGTATTGTGGTGAGGACGTTTCTTCTATAAGTTTTAGAGTGTCAAAAAATTGTCAAAATGAATATGGTAGAAGCCTAATCACCTCGACATTGACGAGGAAGAAAAAAGAACTTTAAACGATAAGTTATCATGGCAGTATGTTGACCGATGATTCAACTTTTTCACTTTTTCTTCTTTAAATCGATAGTATCGATAGTTTTGCCGAGTTGGTTTTTAAATGAAGGGCTTTAAAAGTACAACGTGGAAACAAACGAGTGTGAGCAAGTCAAATTTATAATATTTTTTTCAATTACTAGCTCGAAGCCACCCTTATTCACAAGGAGCCATTCGAGCTCCAGCATGGCTTCTAGTTGAGTGGTAATCTAGTGGTTTTCTCTTCCTTGAGTAGCAAATGGTGCTGGGATTTTAGCAGCTCGCCAAAACAAGCAGTCATTCTTCATTGTGAATCGGAGGGAAGATTTGTCACCCCAAGATTAGGTCGTTATCAAGATGACGGTGAATTCTTACATAGAATTCACTCTTAAGTAAGGCTCAAATAGAAATTTTGAAGATCTTCTCAGCCTCCTTTCTGTATGTCACAGTTCGACATCTACAAATATCTCCTCGCCAAGAAGAAGCGGTAAACCATAAGAAGAGTGGAATTTGCCTTTTCGTTGAACGTTAGGAACAAAACAAACTTTTGACAAAGTCATAGCAAAAGTCAAAAAGTGAGAAGGTTCAGAGAGTAGAAAAAAAATATATTAACGCGCTCGGAATAATTCATCAGTGCGGTTAAAGTTTGCCACCACATAGGCGTTCCAGAGTGATTTGAATTCATCGAGAGCTGGAATGTAACTGAGCTTGTCGTGCGAGTACTGTCATAATAACCGAAGCGAACACTGTGCAGAGAGTGAAAAAGTGAGAGTTTTGTTTTTTTCCAGGGAATGACTACTCTTCTACCAAATGACCGACGTCGATGTGTTGGAAAAAACTCAGTTGGCTAGGCCGTGATCGTACACTCGATGATAGACGGTGCCTTCTCATTACACTGCGCCATAAGCTCCTTTTTTAGAAGGAAGTCAGTAAAGCGACATATACTGCATGGCATTGAGAATGTTTCCAATTTAAATCAGATAATTTGTGATGATCCAGAACTTTCCAAACGTTGTAATAGGAAGAAGTCATTAATCTACCATGACAGAAAGAATAACTGTATTCCATGACAGTCACTTTTTTCCTAGTAATCATTGTTCGCATTCAATTTTCATGATAACTGATAGCAAGCGACAGGAGAACAAAGAGCGGCAGGAATTTTCAAAGCGGTTTGGTTTTTTTTTACTGAAGTAGATAAAATAATCCCATTAAAAAAGACTTACTCGTTTCACCAGTGTCTCTGGAAAGTCCTGTTTAACGGCGATATTCTGTTGTCCGGCAAGGATTATCGCAGCAAGATCAGATGACGACAATCCGGAGACGTCTGAAGCGGTTGTGTTTGTTGGTGATGTACTACATTCATGCACATCGGCGGGAGGCGGAGCACCACACGCAACACTGGGCACGTTTCTTGATGAAGGAGGTGGTCCAACTGCTGTAGGTGACGGAGCAGCGAACCCGTTCATATTCGCTAGCATTCTTCTGAAAGCGGCAGTAATAGGAAAATATTCTTTTTTTTCGAAAATTTATGCCAGCTATATTGAAGTGAGGGAAAGTTGGAACTATTGTGAACTGCATGGAAAGCTAGAGAAAAATGAGAATGGAAGCGCGAAGAATTATGAGGAACCGAGAAGGAATGTAGAATGCAGAAAAACAAAAAGAAGATTTTCTAGCGGAGGCCACTAATATTCTTATTCTTGCCAAGGTACCAAAAAAAATTCTAATTAAATATAAAGTTTATTTGTGGACCGTCCATAAAGGAATACCTAATAACGGCTGGATTGATCTCGGCCTAGGGTAAAATTTCAACAAACGAAACATGTCGTCATAAAAAAAGAAAAGAGATAAAACTACATCCAGACCGTTGTATAAAAAACACAGCTGAAGATGCTATGAGTTCCATGCTCAGATTTTTTTTTTGAGTCAAATGAAAAGTGATTTTCTCATCGTGCAATGGATAGTAGTCCGCTCTAAAGGCAGTTTGGAAATATCCACAAATCCGTTATTGTCCTGCAAAAATGCCAAACTGCGGCTTGCTAAGGATAAGATAAATGAGCTTTTTGTTTTATGGGCGAAAGGAAAGAAAATAAGAAAAGACCAGGTTTTTACAAATGACAGTACATGAATTTCAATTTGAATTCCTTCCAAATCAGTAAACGTCCATGGAATTGTAAAGTATTCGACTTCCACAAAGAGGCTTTCGGTGGTTTTTTCAAGATTTCAGCCATTAACAAGAAAGTGGAAAGAGCAGTGATGTGATGCCGTTCCTCACGAGCACGTTACTGGTTCGATCCTCTATCAGGCTCACTTAACTTTCCAACCCTCTGAGATTGGGAAGTCGAAACCAAGCTTGTCCGGACATCCAGTCCACAAGGGAAGGACTAACCCAAAATTTGGGGAAGAATTGACAGTATTCAGCGACATGCATCGAGTAGACTAGAATGCTCGCGCAATAGCTAAACCACACGCAAAATGTTTGGAGATTATCGCAAAGAATCGAATGCAGGAAGCGCCGGGATCCAAAAAAATAGATGTGAAGACTTGTGGAGTAAAAAGATCGTTAACGTAGAACTCATAATCCTAACATGTATAACCAGAATAGAACTGTTATCAACCGCTCAAAAAAGTCAGAATGAGGAGGGAGGGGTATGTTGGGGTAGAAAGTTGTGGAAGTAGACTTGCAGACTTAAAATTCATAAAAATTCTTGAGATCATGAAGAGGTGAGGAATCGAAGTAGATGGGAATGCAATGTTTTTATCCAGGATACGCTCATCGATGATGTAGAACGAGTAGATATTTCCGCCAAACTCATCGATCCCACTTAAAGGTTCTCTCATTGCTCAGAGACTTAGGATAGCATCTCAATCTCTTCTGAATTTTATTCATTAAAAAGGTGAGCGATGTCTTCTACGTTACAATCGATAAACAGTCAAATTTTACACACCAGACCTTCTGTAGCAATAATGCTAATGTGGTCCAACAAAATATGGATACACCTGAAGGTTAGTCGTAAACCATTTGATTAGCAGATAAGAGAAGATCTTATAAAAACAGATCTATCAGATAGAGCTGAACCTCAAGAGAATCTAAGCACTTCGTAAGCTGGCGACCTACAAGAGGTCTGTCTCTCACCCTCATTAACAGTAGTCTTAACGGTATGAACGATATTTCAGCCAAAACACTTGAGTCATAGTCGAAACCACACTATGAAGGAGCACTTGAACAACAACAGTAAAATAACTGAAAATTGTACATCCGAGAATTGGAGCAAGGCTGCGTTCAAAAAGAACCTAACGACAGGATAAGCGATACACAACTAGCAAGCAGTTTCAAATTTGATCGGTATCGTCGTTCGTTGTAAGTGTTGGTTTACGGAGCATAGAAGGGGGATTAAGAGGCTGTGAAGATGAGTTGAAGCGATAGCGCGGTGCGCTTGTAGTAGTAATGCGATGTGGGGCTTAAGCAAGCGGAGGGGTTCGGAGTGGGTGAAGCCATACCTCAAAGCTTGCTAGGATTATGTCGCTATGCTCTTAAATTGATGACTTCTACAGTCAGACAGACGGACGTAGACATATGTATGTACGCACATGCATAAACACACACATACATACAACATACAAACACACAGACGGAAACATACACAGGCGCACATATATGAAACGAAACAACAGAGAGGAAGAAAAAAAACCTGACGTATCACTAGGCAAATGTTGCAAGCGCCCGCAGCATACGGTAGGCACGACTACCTGATAGTGCCCGTTGCAGTTCGTGTAGTTCAGGAACCTGAGAACTGCGATGATAAATTTCATGGATGATTGTTAGCCATGAGAGAAAATCCCATACTAGCTCATTGCACAATAACAAAAGTCCCATTGCGTAACAATGCCTCTTCCATACATTTACATTTTTCGTTATACTTACTTGATACTTGATACTTGAACGGCCCGTCATCACTAGTTGTGCGGACCCAAGCATAATCACCATTTTTCGGACATTTGTTGGTTTAGCCAATGTGGTTCTCTGGAGCCCAGAGGTCAGCATGGCTAAAGTCTGCCCCAGGTCTTCACCACCACAAGCAGTCGCAACCCTTGTGGATCAGAGGGAGATTTACAACCATGCGACTTTGATACCAAGACGGTAGTGGATCCTGCTATTGGTTTACTTTTAGCTAGGCTTCCTGATAGAAACGCCAGATTCCCTCTCAGCTTAGCAGACCCTGCCGGAAGACGAATTCCCCCGCTGTACATCTCAGTCCGACACCCAGTAACACCTCCCAGCCACGATGAGGTGGTAAACCGTTGGGAGGATTTATCGTTATGGATAGAACAAATATACAACCTCTATCATAATACAATATGGACTCTTTGATATATATCGTAAAGCAACACGGTATTAGTATAAATATATCTCTATACAATACAGAAGCCACCAAGCGAAACAGCACCGTCCGCCTCTTCGATCCCTTCTGGATAAAGACAGTGCCTTATCGGACACCACAGTTGCTGTCAGAAAGTTCGAGACTTTCTTACGATCAAGGATTTAGCAACAGTAGGATGTTTTAGCTCGCATATAGAAGGACAGAATAGAAAAATCTGACAAACAGTCGCTAAATAATTTCGAAAGTTGCTGGCTCGATTTTCAGTCGATGAACCTAAGCCGATTTATGCCAGGCTAGGCAACTTGAGGATATAGTCATAAACTGCCAGTATTGAAAAAAAATTGTTGTCAACGGACAATCATTCTCAATAAAAACCGCCCTGTATAAAAGAGCGCCGTCGGGTGAGGTTGCCTCATTGGAGCGGTGCTTCACTGAAGAAGATTCGGCTCGAGACGAAGACGAATACGCCATATCGAGAAGAGGATATACTAGGCAATCGACTCGGATCGTCGTCTCCGAGGAAGACGAACATGTCGACGTCGAAAGATTAGCCGAGTAAACACCTTTATAAGCCTCGTGTTAGCTTAATAATCCAAGAGGGTATTAACATTTTACAGTTTAGATAAGATCTCAGGATCGACTTTCTATTAACCTCGGCATTGGATTGTAAATTAGCCGTTCTCTTTCTTAGTAATCGCGAGGTTGTTAAGCAGCATACATTTACTTCCATACAGTAACACGCGTCAAACATATGCCACTCCGAGCAGCTGTTCTTCCTCGTTGGAAGGGGTGAAAAAAGCGGCTCTGAAGAAGGCGATTCTGCCGAAACGTCAGCTACGGTTGTGTTGCATGTGTGTTATTGTATGGAAGGAAACGTATGCTGTTTAACAACCTCGCGATTGCTGAGAAAGAAAATGACGAATTAGGTAAGATCGCTACGAAGAATCCTAGCGCTCGTCTAATAGGACTCAAGCGATCACAACTACACTGGTTCAGTGTTTTTTCACAAATGTAAGTGAGAAAATAGCTTTGTACTTAAAATATGTCAGTGTTAATAGTAGCCATAACGGATAGGGAAGTTTCAAAGGGTGATGAGAATAATGATCGAATAGTCAAGTTCCATTCTAGCTGCTGTTTTTCTTTACGTGTAGTAAGCAAACGAGAGAGTACTTTGGAAAACCTGAACTTTGATGCATTGGTAATTTAGAACTAAAGTTGCAGGTGTTTGTGAAAATTACGTGCACTGTCACATCTTTTTAATGTTAATGCTTTTGTCTTCCACTTTTTATATTCAATCAATATTCATATTCAATTATTAGCTTAAAAATAGAACACTTATAATTCCGATTGGTTCTGTTTTTGCGCTAATCTGGGCTGTGAGCTCGCAAGACAAACGCCGTAAATGACGTCAAATCGAAAGAAGAAGATGAGAATGGAGATGAGCAGGACCGAAGATGACGACGTATTGGTGTCTATAATGATCACAGGAAGACGAGGCAGAACTGAAAACAACGATTCACAGGGTTCCAATCGAGCACAAAGCAGAAATGTCACAACGACAACTGCGGTCCACGTCAACCAAACACTAAAGCATTCGTGTCGAACCTATTTTGCTATAAGATTACGTATAGCCTATTGGTTAGAGGTGCCTTGCACATACGCGGCCCTGGGTTCGATCTCTGTCCCTAGCGAACTACTTATGGCCAACTAAACCTACAGGAGCGGAAAGTTGGTACCAGAGTTGTCTGGGAGGCTAAAGAGACTGACTTTCGGCAGTTATCGACAATTATTTCTTAGTTCGAATATACATTCAACCAGCTCTACGATGCCTAAACCCTACGGCACAAAGGCGATTTCCCGAAATCACGCAATAATTTCTTCATGAACAACGTAGAGCATCAGTTGGGAACATTAAGCGCTCATAGAGGAGACTCTGCTTATTGCTTTAAGAGTATATGCACTTATATGAAGCATTCTTCTCATCTTCGATTTGTCTTGAATAAAAATTGCCGAAACATTAAAAACCGGCTTTAAATTCTTAAATTTTTAAAGCCTTTCAGAGAAAAACGGTAGTTATAATCGATATATTGGGAAACATC